AGTACTTCTGTAAATTGAAACTCTCTAGGCTGGTATTTGCAAAAAGCTCTAATTTCTCTTTAGTGTCTCTTATGGGAATAGTAATTCCATGTGGGTAGGTAAATGAGATAAGAATTTTGCGTGCTCTGGCTAAACTAAACATAATTAGACATTAATTCTGGCTTTCCATTCCCTCAAATGACTTAAGGGACAGTAATTTTCTGAACAGAAAGAAATCATATGGCCCACCTGGCTTGGTGAGCGCATTCACCAACAAAATTGGCTCATTTCAGAGAGAGTTTCTAGTAGTAGCTTCAGACTATATCTATAACCCATCAGAACTGAGCATCTTGACGCAGATTAGTCTAATACTGCGTTTCTGAGTTTCCATTTCCACAGTAATTAAAGTCTTTTACAGGGCTCCACTTTACAAATGCTTTTCTTCTGTTGTACCATCAAATATTCTTGACTTGTACTAAAAAATAAAATTACTAATGGTTTCCTAAAGAGCCTGAACAATATCAGAATGAGGTATGATCTAGATATTGTCCCTTTGTGTTTGAAATCAGTTGTTTGGAAATATTCTCTGACTGCGGAAATCCCAGAAGGTGATGATGGAAAGGATGCTAAATGGAATTATATACCCTGGAGGGGCATGAAAGAGGGGTGAGATGGTCTGAATCAAGTTCAAGTTTCAACCCAATGGAAAGCAGCTATTTCAGCTGTTGATAGGAAGCACACTGAAATCCAGATCTATAAGGTGTTATAAGGAGAGGAAGAGGAAATCTTTCTACATGTGCAGGGACTTACTTAAGCTCTGCCCTCTTTTTAAAAATCACCTGCTGTCTTCAGTGAGCCATCCTGGTCAAAAGAATCGTTCATCCCCTTTGGAATCACTGTATGTGGCAAACACTTAAAACTTCACAGGGAATACAGCACATCTTTTAACTGGAAAATTTCTGCATTGTCTGTCAGTTTGAGAATTCTTTTCTGAATGCCTTTCATTTTATCTATCATTTCCTTAGAAATAAAAGTGATCATATTGCAAGTGTTCTAAGAGAAGACTTTACCAAGCCACTTCATGGCTGTTCTACCACCACCCAAAGTTTATTTTCTTACTGCTTGGTCTGGTAATAATGTTTAAGTTATGGGCTACATGGACCTATCAACAGATCTTACTTATTTAAATATTCATTTTCACAGCTGATTTTATCCTCTCATAATACTGGAAAAATGATTACATTTTCTTTTCTAATGGGGTTGTCTCCTATTATCCAGCTGGAATAATTGAAACTCTATGCATTTTCTACATCACTGTTTACCTAGTTATTTTGCCTTTGAATACATTAGTGCTTTTGTGATTGGTATAAGTATGTATTTATAGAAATAGAAAGCACAAAAGAAAAATTATGAAACAGAAATCAGGAAACCTCAAAATAAAAAGCTTTTGTTTTTTGGTCACAAAGACAATTTATAAGATACTAGTATTTGCATCAATCTTCAGGATATCTGACTAACCCTTTTTGTTGAAAAGAAGATAAGTCTTTCTCCCTGTATTTTCTCACTAGTTCCTATCCCTGGAAAGTGTTGGTTTTTTGATAATCATCAAAAAATGGATATATTTTTCAGAGACACAATTTTAACTTCAGAAGTTCTCCTCTTGCCTGCCAGGTTAACTAATGTGCCTGGCATCATGCTAGTTTTATGTGTTTGTAATTCTTAGTGTTTCCAACATCTCCTCCAATCCCAAAGCTAAATTTGCTATTGGCTATACCCTTCACTTATTTTTGGTAATAGGTAGTATATATGTATTTTGCTGCAACTCACATACTTAGGGCTTTTTTTATCACTTTATTATCTACAAGCTCTCAAGTACTAATGTATCATTTTAACAACCTTGTTACAAAAAGAAAGATTATTTCATTCTGTGGTTTTGATGGGAGTCTATTTAGTTATTGACATGAAGTATTTGGAGGAACTGAACAAAAATTCCTCTGTGGTACCTTGAACTCTACATTTCAAACTGCCTCAACGATCGTGGGATTCAGAACCTCTCTGTTGATCATGTTTACCAATTTGTCATATATCACCTCAGTTTAACACCTCATTTTTATTACATCTCAAGGATTGTTTTGAGATAGGACTTTCCCATTGCTGAGTATTGAAGACTAATGCAAAGGGTTCTTTGGATTACCCTCATCTTCTGACCTTCTCATGTTTTATCCTGCCCACTTATTTTGATTTTTTTTTTCTATTGCTAGCAATATCCAAATAGTAGATTTCTGTCCTAAGCCACATTTGAAACAAGAAACTCAGGGTCATGGTTATGGTTGAGAACAACCTTTGATTCTGCAGTAGTTTTCTACAGGACAAGAGGACACAGCCTCAAGTTGTGCCAGGGGAGGTTCAGGTCAGCCATTCGGAAAAACTGCTTCTCTGGAAGACGTGTCAAGCATTGGAATGGGCTGCCCAGGAAGGTAGGTGGTGGAGTCACCATCCCTGGAAGTTGTTCAGGAAATTAATGGACGTGGCACTTAGTGCAATGTTCTAGTTGAGAAGGTGGTGTTCTGTCAAAAGGTTGGGCTTGATGATTTTGGAGGCCATTTTCAACTTTAATGTTTCTCTGATTCTACAAAGATCAAAAGAATACAAATTCTGCACTTTCATGTAAAATTTGTTATCTAAAACAACAGAATAATTTTGCAAGCTTGAGTAGCTTACAAATGACCACTAACAGAAGGCTGGGTTTTGCATGAAGGTATTGATTTTCAGCAAGGGGTTACCACAAGGAATGATAATTTTGTTCTTTTACACTGCCCCAGGCATGGGAAGTTTTCTTTGCAAATTAACAAGTCTGCCAGGGACCACCTCTCACAGGATTTTGTTATTAAGTAATGAATTTCTAAGACATGAAAGATCAATAGTTTGATGATTTTATTTATACGTGATGCTCATAGTCCACCTGTATCATCTTTCGTGTGCTAGGGTTTACATATATATTCTAGGGTTTACATACATATTTTGTATTGGTATGATGCACACCATGAGAAAGAAGCAATAAAATACTAACATGCAAAAGAATATTAGCATGTGAATAATAATATTTCATTAATAAAACTTTACATGAACATTCTCCAAAGCCATGGAATTTTTAAAAGTTGTTTACATGGGTAATAGGAACTTAGCATGAAATGGTAAATAGGGCTACAACTCTCTTTTGTGGAAGTAACTCGTTATCTTTCCCTTAAAAGCCTGCAGTGGTGTGAGACTGAAAACCAACAAAACTCAAAACTTTGCCTGAATGAAAATTATCCCATGTGTCTAAAAAAAAGGTTGCCAGAAACCACATCCCTTTGCCACAGCCTGTTTAATTTCAGTTGTGTGCCAATTTACAAAAGTATTCTATAGTTTTTCTGATTACTTTCACCAGTAACCAAACACAGTCTTGACCCTTTTCCATACACAAAAACAGCCAATGGTGAGTGCAGCAATGGGAGGTCTGGCCTTTCAGGTATGTCAGCTGAAGACCACCCTACTGGAAGAGGTAACAAGAACAAAAAGTCGAGGTCAAACAAGGTCGCCCCATGTAATTAGATACTAATAGTGGATTTGGGGTGTAAAATTCACTTAAAACCATATACCAACAGACTAAACAATCCCAGCAAGAATGGCAAGTTTTGTTCTAAAAAAAAATGTTTTCAATACCAGAAAGCATAACTAAAACATACATAATAACCTTGACTGACAGACTGCACTAATCTGTGGTAACATCTGCTTCCAGACTATTTGCTATAGTTTTGGGACAGTACAGTTATAAAACACTGAAACTCTCCTGTAAGTTATAGTACAGTGTGCATCCAATTTCATTATTTTATTGTTGTATTCACTTGTTGTCCCAATAACAATTTTTAGAATTTTAGTTCAACAGGAAAACAAATTCTTTTCTTAACAGCAAAACCAAAGTTGCAAATCTGACTGTATCTGATACTACTGGAGAAACTTGCTGAAGTAGATAATGAAAAAATAGGCAGTTGCTTTTGCAGGGTATGATGGGATCAATTATACAACAAACTTCATTTCTCTTGGCTCTTTCATTTTGTGTTGATTTCTGATGCTTTTGCAGGATGAATGCGCTACTTTTACTTGGCCATCAGATCTTACTGCTGCTAGGTGGCCCCTAGGTCATGTTGGGAACTGGCTTTTTTTCCATATTTCCTAATATTTTCATAGCTCTAGCTGCTCTGCAAAGATCACACCACAGGAAACTTTGGTTTGATAATTTTAATTTATCCTCATTTTACAACTGGTAAATTAGTCTAAATAATTAGACCGATCTAATCTTATTTATTACTATTATTATTATTTATTATTATTAAATCTGTGTCTTATAAATCACTTGAGCAGGATTTATAAGCTTTTTAGAAGCAGAGTTATAAGAACTGTTGAAGAACTTTGTGTATTTCTGGCATACAGCCCAAGGACAAAGAATTTCCTTCCTTGGGGCTCCAAACCTGCCTGGGGAGAGACAGGTATGGGTTATGGAAGGATGTTGAAAACTAGTAAGCAGTGACACTTCACACCCCCTGAGGACTGAGTTAGTCCTCTGTGTTATTCCCCGTTGGTGGTATCTCCTATACAACCAAAGAGATGTTTGGGAAAGGCCAAACTAGTCCCTTAGAACTTACTTAGGGCAAAACTGACACAAGCTAGTACTGTAAAATAATTTTCTGTAGTTGCTTAGAATAGGTGTTGCCACCCAGTACAAATCTTTTGAGCAAGCTCCCATTGTGCACTGTCCCACCACAGGGGCAGGTAAGGAAGCAGTAACACTGGGAAGAATTCCAGCATATGCCTTCCATCTGGTACCTAAAAGCCATTTGGCTTCAGAACTACCAAGAGCATCCCTTTTTTATTGAATGTCACTATTACATAATTCAGCCATGTGGAAAGAACTACAGCTACCTTTTGGTTTTTAACCAGTTGAAGAAAAGGTTGATTTTAAAGAAAAATGCAATGCTCACCTCTTTGGGTCAACAATCTTGTAGAGTTTTCCGCTGTGAGGCTGTGTCATACTTTTACTGCTTGATAATATGTAAATCTCACCTGTTAGGAAAGCCAATGCAATAAATTAATTCTCCTTTTCTATGGAAAATACAGGACTTTTATGATCTAGCTGTATTTACCAAATGAGATTAAAAAAAACTTCAGAAGAAACATTCAACACTGAAATATACAGTAGAATCATTGCTATTTGAAAATTTATAGAAGTACTCTCCCCAAATTGATGCTAAAATGTGAAAAAGTATTCTATCATGAGTGTTTTGCCTTTCATATATTATAAAGGGGTTAAAAAAGGTAAAATTTGTGAGGAAGGGAGAAGAAGGGGCTCAGTCTGCTCATGCAATCTGCCAATTAAGTCTGTAATGTTGGGAATAAAGGAATAAATAAAAAATCTTGTGTCATACTGAGTGACACAGTTAACAGGGTGTGAGAGACAATAAGGACCTTTGACTCTTCCAACCCCACATTCTCTTCCCCACTCTTCTTACAAGGCTGTTGAGGTGTAGCTGAGAGCAGTGTAGACAGCTTTGGTAAAGGAAAGATAGCCTTCTTTTTAAACATTTACTAGAATTGTGAATACTTCAACAGGCATGACCGATAAGCCTTATGATTTAAGAACTTCTTTTTTTAGTATTTACCTAATTCATCTTCGCCAAATCCCAAGACAGGTCCTGAAAAGAAACCTCTACATGAGCCAGCGTTGCCAAGACAGAGCGGTTTCTCTTGCCACTGTTTGGTTGCAGGACTCTGTTGCAGTGTTAAAAGATTTCTATATTTGAGAACACATAAAACAAATTGTTACATTACATTTTGAATAGAGAGTCTTCATTGTTCAGATAAATAAGTAAACACTTTCTGCAAGAAGTTCCATAGATACATCTGTGCAGTTCACTGTCTTATGATTTATTTTTCAGATACTTAAAAGCCACCCAGTCATTCAAACACTGCAAAATTGTGTTCAAGCTATACTACACAACCATTTGTGAATATTCAACTATCTGATATGGGAAAACTATGACCATTCATTACAGAAACATTCATGTTGCTCCATCAGTGATGTTTCCATAAAACCCCCAAAGTCTTCAATGTCTTACCAGTTTGTTTGAGAAACAGTTCCATGATTAACATTATTCCCATCACAGTGTAAAAGATGCATGTAAGCATATCTAGAACTAAAATCTTAAAAGAACCATGATGTGAGTCTCTTTTTACTTTTTTACGAGGCTTAACTATGTTACGAAGGTCACCATTAGAATGCTGTGCTATTTCATTTCCAAATCTAGAATTTAATCTGCATTTATCACCGTGCTAACCTGGCGAAGTGACACAATATGCAAGACTTTTAGTGTTCCTTCATACAGGAAGCTGAGTGGTTGAATATACCCTATAGGCATTTTTTGTTTAAGTGTGAGCTGAAAGAAACCTACCCATTGCGGTCTCCAAATACATAACTTCCATAGAGTCTTTCAGACTGACAGCCTCGATAGACAAATCCACCGACCAGGGATCCACTGCTGAATGGTTTGAATTCTAAAAGTGAGGGCTCACTTTCTGAAAAGGAACTGCCGTAGCATTAGATCATATGCAGTCTCATATTGATTCACATTAGTTAAATACCATATTAATTGAAGAAAACAGGTTAATTCCGTTTCAAAAATGAAACATTAAAAAAACCCCTCATGAAATTACAGCAAAGTCTGTTTGTGAAACAATCCATTAAAGATTTTCAATAGGAGAGGCTATAGGTGCTTTCTTCCATGTACACAACCTGGGACAATAAAACTACATAAGGATTAGGTTGAACTTCCACTGAAACTGATGTTACTGCTACTGATTTCTAGTCTCAATGCAGTCTGCAAAATGGATCTCCTGAACTCCAGGAGTACAATTTAGCCCCCTTTACTGTAAAGTCCAGTAAGTAAGAGCAGAAATTCCAGTGATTTTCAACAGAACTTGTTTCCGAAACCATTCAGTGGTTTGAGAAACTCTTTCAAAATCACAGTTTTAAACATGGTGAGTGTGTTCCATCCCCTAAAAACTAGTATTACTTGCCGTAGCTTCTTGTGGCAATTTCATGCTCTTGCTGTAGTTGCAATTCCTATACATTTTTTTTTATTCTTTCACAAAACCGCAGAGTTTAGTTCTATCAAATAATTCTTGGAGGAAGTTTCAGTGTACATGTTCCTATTCATTTAATCAAATACTGGTTAGGGTAATAGCAGGCCCAATTTCACAAGATAAAGGTGTAATTTTAAATAAAAGCCAGAGTCAATAGATCATTTTGTTTTATAAGAACTTTTTTTAGTCAGAAGGCTATCTGCAAGTCTTTGATAAATGCATTTCCCAGATTATTCTACAAGAGTAAGACCTGAAATTTTACGGGGGAGAAAAAGATGATGAACTTTTTGTATTGAAGCAGTTGACCCACGGCCTAGTATTAATATTGGCAAGCTGTTCCGGATAGACACAATATTGCTTAGTTTACTCTGCAATAAAGATGCAGTCAAAATTCCATTGGAGAAGTGGTTAACCAAATATTATTCTTTGGTTTGGCTTTTGTAAAATGGAATTAGAAAATACATGCAATAACTGAAGCAGTACAATTACCATATACTATTGTGTACTGCTGTACTAGACAGCACACCTGCTTTGCTTGTAAGTAAAGTACAGGTGGGTGACCTAGGGATGTGAATGAAACTGGAAAATGCTGCATTCCAGGAGATAGACCACTCAACACTTTTACACACTGGTGGCATTTATTACATCTTACCATCGTGGATTTACAAGCTGCTAAATGGTCAGTCAAGGTGGATGATGGCTCAGAGTAGCTGTCACCTGGCTTGCCTGAACTAGCAAGTGATCTTAGTGAGTATCAGAGATCAACATTAAATTGAAATTGTGACCGACAATCATACTAATTCAGAGAGAACATGAAACACTTTAATAATTTAAAGTCCCTGAGTATATTTATCTTTTTGTTGTTTAATCTAAACAAGTAATTTATCATGAAGTAGTAGTGTAGTGCATTTTTCTAAGTTTTTTATTTTTAGTAACATTTAAACCGAGCTCAGTCATTTCCCTGTCTGGTTGAGGTCTGTTGTTGTCTATCTCATTTTTTCCATTATAGAAGGTCCATTACATGAGGTTTCCATTCTGTCTTAAAAGGTAATTTATGAATGACTAAGAATACATTTTCATCACTTCCTGATATTCCAAAATCTCCTCCTTATGAGCCAAATTGTGCAGCAACAGTTTGCTCTTTGACAGACTAGCAACTGTCAAATTTCTTAAATCTTATTTACATGATATTCTACACCAACAGGAACAAAGTTGAGTCATTTAAATTGTGTTTTGTCCTGAATCTTGTATCTGCTTGTACCTTGAAGTTCTACCCTGAAAAGATGGAACTTTTCAGAAGTTCTGTCTTTGGTAGGTTGTCTGTCCTATCTATGTTCTAAGTTTCCTATCATGGCTAGACAGCCCTTTATCTATTCTCTTCTGCTTTCTATTTATTATTCCATGGGCATAAAAGCTGACTGTTCCCAGCAGCTTTACCCTGGATGGAACTTACCATAGTCTTTGCCCTTTATTATTTGTAAGATTCTTGCTGAAGATCTGTTCTTTCCATTTGAATCTGAACAAAGTATAGTTAAATTGATGTTTACATCAGTTAGATGGCGGTCCACAGCACACCTGTGGAAAAAAAAAAAAAAGAAGAAAATCCATGATAGATGAGTTCATAATGCATAATTTTAAATAGTATGAAGCATCATAGTTTAAAATATTATTGTTTCGTTTTGGTGCCTACTCATGTGAGAGACCTATTTTATACTGAGCTAAAATATCCGGGAATGTGTTAGAATCATATCCAAGAGATATTACAACTTTCCCATTCCTTCACCACTTTTTATATAATTTGAAGTAAAACTACTTTTTCCTAGTGATAAGATGGACTCTGCTCTATAGCACCTGCAATGAATAGTGCCTTAACCAAGCAAAGTGAATTGACTTATACGGTGTAGGAATTTTGGACTGTTAAAAAGTCCAAGAATCAACTCCTTATCTGAACAACGTGACTTTCTGATTTTTTTCAAACCATGACTTTAAATGTCACTTCAGTACCACCCACCTAATTTGCTGAATTATGTGTTTAGTTAAAGCATTGTTCTCCTCCTTGCTATTGTTTAGATATCACCAGATGTTCTCATTTGTTTTCCACGTGCCTATTATTCCCAGTTAAGATTCCCATCTCAGCTGTACTTTACCAACCCTCTACTTGAAGCTCTTTTCTTTCATTTTCACTTTTATTGTTCATTAAAACCAAAAATGCGATACTTGATTTCTGTCATTTTGGTCTTGATTTTTAGTAGTTGTACATGCTCTTCTCTTTCCCCTTTGCCAATGTTTCTAACTGTGACATATGTGTGGAGAAGGAGAAGTGGAAGATTTAAAAAGTTCACAAGTGCCTTTATTATTAAAATGTCATTACCTGACTGTAGAAAAAATTTCTGGTTGAAAACAGTATCTACTCCAGAGTAATTCAGTAATTCAGTAACTTACTTACCGGCCTGGATTGTGGAGTCCATGTGCAAAAATCTCAGGAGGTTGGTTTGTGCTATTGAAATGTGGGTTGCTCCGTGGTATAGAATAAGGGACATTGCACAGGTCGGTATTTACGTCGAGGCGCAATACAGAGCCTGTAAAATCACTGAGAAAGGTGGAGGATAAAATAATTGGGCTTTTAAAAGTATTTTACTGGTAGATTTAATCCACATAATACTATAGTGAGCCAGCAAAATAAACCACCTGCTTTTACTGATTATTAAACACATAGATTGATTTTATGGTACATGCAAGTCCAAAAAATAATAGCAGAGCCTGTTCAAGATTCAGTTGTGGCCAATATGTTGCCTTGTTGCATACTAAAACACCCCTGACCATGCTGTTGGGAAGCAACTTGACCATAAGAACAACTTTCCAAACATCAGCATTGTTTCATGGTTTCAAATATCTCCTCTAGAGTAATTGTGCTTAATGCTTTTTGCTAACGCTTTGAATCCTACTCTTGAATTCAATGATTTCTAGTCACAGTACAAATTAATTACATAGAAAGAAAGCAAGTAATAAATAAATTGTATTGCTTGAATGGAAATGTTGATTTTTTTTTCCGTAAGGATTCTGAACTTTCTTGTTATATGAAACAGGAGACAGTAAAATGTTTTACCTTATGTTCATGACTGTGATGGAAGAAAGGAGAAGTAGAAGGACTCTCTTTATAAACATGAAAAGATGTGATATTTAAATTGATTCCTTTCTGTCTTTCTTCATCATTAATTTGTTTCAGTCTTCTCTTGTTTAACATTAATTTAAAACCAAGTATTAGAATTGCCCTCTGCCCTGGGTTTTAAGTATATCCTTATGGTTAAAAAACACTTAAAAATCACAGGAGCACCTGCAATTCTGCTGAGCCAAAGAGGCCTTTAAACAGCAACTCCTTTTAGGTCTGTAAAGGCTCAGTACCACACCTTCTCTAAATTAGGATAAATATTGCAACTCAGAGCATAAGGAAACAGAGGGAAGCAGCTTGGGAAAATTGTAAAGGTAGAACCAAAGTAGGATTACTTCATACATTCCCTGGACATTTTCCTAAGTGATGAGTTGTTGTTATTGACTCTGGTATGTGTTTGTAGACACTTTTTGGAATCTTTGCTCAATACAGGTGTCCTGTTCATAGAACAATAGTTCAGAAAACAGAAGCCTAAACTGTGCTTTAACAAAATTGCATTTACTGATGAGGAGTCTGGTATTTCAATGGTTTGACAGCAAAGAGCTACAAGAAGATGTATTTAAGCAGTCAGACTGTCCTGAAAATCAGCATTTTGCTAAACCCAGGCACTGAAATAAGTAGGAATATTTAGTAAAGGAAGAGGGAGCAAGATTTGCCCTGACAACTGCTGATCTCTTTGGATTCTGACCCCAAATACTGTGCAACCCCCAAATACTGTGCAAAGACAATAATAGAAGTCTATCCATTGGTAGTGTTTGTACCTTAAACCATCCATCTCCTCCATGTCATCTAGAGTGATCATGCCATCTCCGAGAAAAATGTACAGGAAACCATCTGGGCCAAACAGAAGCTGTCCTCCTAGATGTTTTCGATGTAGTTCTGCTACCTCTAAAAACACTCTTGCTGTCCTCATATCAACTTGGTGTGGATTTTTCCTGCAAGATAAAGATATGAGCACAGTTTTCACAGTTCACTATTGATGTACTTCTTTCTAAAAATAAACTTGACTCATTAAAATTGTACTTCGAGATGTGGATGTTGTAATTTGGTGGAAAAATGCCAAACAGTTATTTCTGAGAAATTTCAATTTTGGAGTGTTCACAAAAAATTATTCTGCTGCCTATATGCAATAAGTAGGAAATAATTACAATTAAAAAATGACAGAATAACTAAAAAAAAATATATATATTAAAAAGAAAAAACAGTGTACTTACTGGCATTTCAAAACTACCGTTTGAAATAAAACCCACAATAGTTTTTCTGCAGCTACCCAAGTATATGCATTGTAAACCTGATAGTTCATTTTAGAAATGGGAAATACCTAAATGCAAGGGTTGCTAAGAAATACAGAATTTGTAAATTTTAGACTTCTACTAATACCTGGATACTGTGTATTCTACCACCCTAAGGATGTGGTCGTGAGGTCCAATAGCCCACCGTTCTTGGTTGGTGGTATAAGACACATACAGCTTTCCATTTTGCTTGTAATTGGGATGGAATGCAAGGCTTAACAGTCCTCTTTCATCTCCTCCCTGCAGTCAAATGAAAAACACAAAGAATTGTGAAGTTAATTATGTTCTTTATTGTGTTTCAGCTGGAACCCAAAAAAAAAGTTTCTTTCTTGTGGATAATCTTTCCCCCAAACTCTTTTATTTCTTTCCTGACTACTGCACAAAAAGGATTATAAAACATTTCACTTTGGGGAAGTCTTTAAGAGTTAGAACAAGACAATTGCCTTATGTAGTTATCTATGCACAAGTCTATTGCACCACTTTGGTGGAGTGATTTGTGTATGTAATCTTTAGGAAGCCATGGAGACAAGTTTAAGTGCTGTGAAGGATTCTTTGCTGGGTTACTAGGTTGCTTGTAATTCATGGAAGACAAATAAAAAGGTCTATAAGCAGCAGTCACTTCTAATCCAAGTATCCAAAACCTAAAGCATAGTGCTGGCTGCCAACTCCCACTGTCTTGGCAATATGTTTAGAAAACAGTTAAATTGCTTGTGTAATATGTAAACCTTTGTTTTACCCTGGAGGCAGCAACATCAGTTGTCACAACTATGGTGGTCTGTTCATCATAGCTAATGTACTGTAGGTAATAAACAGCCTTGGTCTTTGTGCAGAGAAACCATAGTTTTCCATGTGGTCCCTCACTGGAAAGGTTTTTTTTATTTTTTTAAAACAAAAATAGAAAAATCTCGGAACAACTTTGTTATTATGTTTGCCATAAGGATTAGTACAGTTCCATGTTAAGCATCCAGTCCATGTAACGTACTGTGACAATGCATATACTCCATGTACTTAAATAGAAGGCAATTTTCTTTTTGGCTTTTAAAAATGTATGGTAATATTCTTATGCCTAAAATTGTATTTGTATAAATGAAGAATGAAACTTAGATTCATTTGTTGGTTTTGAAGTAATACAGGGAGAGAAGCTGAGGCACAGAAATAAACACAGTACATAATTAACAATTCAAATTCAAGTCATATATGTCATTATTCACAAGGTGATAGTTGTCTTGGAGTTTAACTCAGGGCTTGCCAGTCCTTCAAAACTAGTGACTCTGTTGTAGATTCAAGTGCTCCAGCTCGGTACCCATAAGGAGACAACATTTTGCAACTCCAACCACACCCATGATAACTAATTATGAAATTTTAAATTATAAGAGAGAATGAAGCTTTTAAAATGTATTTGCACTTCAGAGTGATGGATGGGCCTGTCTTCCTGTTGAAAGTCATCCCACAAAAGGCGTAATTGGGAAAGTGCACAGCTTTAATTTATTTTAATTCAACATGATTGCTGTACTTCGTTTTTAATCACAACCACCAACGAGAAACCTGAGTCAGAAAGGGAGATGTAAATAGGTCAAGAGATTTCCATACAAACAGAGTTATACAATGCAATCTGGATCCTGCTAATTTAGAGGCAACCAAAATTTGCTAATTTGTTTGTTAGAAAAATTTAATTTCAGGGGGTTATCAGAGAGGTTAGTTTTGAAAGTCTAGTTAAAGCTGCCAAATCAGTTGCAGTCATCATGGATGAAGGGACTGGTAATCTAGCTCTTTCTCCCTTATGAGCCAAAAATAATTCTGCAGCTGAGTCTCAACTGATTATAGATATCATTGTTTGAGTTTCTAAGAGTTTTGACCAAGTTGCTCTGATAAAGTCTGAAGCAAAGGGAGGCAAATCAGTTTCTTTTGGAACAGGAAGGCATATTTCAAAGATTCCTGATGAATGATTCTATCTGTTGTGCCCAGACAAAGACAATCCTATTTCTTCTCCTGAGAGAACAGTTCAACTCATTTAGGGGCCCAGGAATGTCAATGAGTCACACTAGGTCTGCCATGCAAGGTGAGTTATTGAAAGTATTAGTAAGAAAAGATCTTTCTGTTACTAAGCTGAAGATTTTATTTAGTGCTTGACGCCATGGCAGCCATCTCAGTGTGAAAGTGAAGTTGTTGAAAGCGTAAACAGGTGAAAATTAAATTAAGAGCTTTTAATAAAGTACACATGAGGCAAGAATTTGAAAAATTAATGAAAAACGGGACTTGCAAAGTAGTAACTCTGGCAAGTTGTCTTCATAGGATCAGGCCACTATTTCTACTTTTTGCTGTCTTGTGTGACTCTATTAGACTGAAATACATTACTAAGTTTGTAGAATGTATCTGTTGCTTCCTGAAAAGTCATATTGTTGTTGTTTGGGTTTTTTGTTTGTTTGTTTTGTTTTGTTGAGACATACACATTTTGTTACAAAAAGTCTATTTACTCATGTATTTAATAAAAACTTTGTGAATATCCCTCCAAGATACTGAAATCAGTGCAGCATCAAGCCATTACTTGGCTTCTGGTCAACTCAAAATCTGGATGAGTTTTTCCATGTTTATTTTTCCTGGTTTTGGAAAATAATTGTTCATCTGTATTTTCAGCTTTATCACTAACTGGCAAACCTGTTCTTTCCAATTAAATCACTGACACAACTTCCATAGCTTTGGAAATGTTCTCTATGTGCCAAAAAGTATTTATTGTTTTCTATAGTGTTGTCTCATATATTGTGGGGTGCATAGAGAGATATTCAGCAAAATCCCTTAGGAGCAGTCCTTTTAGTCCTATCAAACTGAATAACTATGTACAAAATTTTAGACTTTCTCTATAGAATATTACTCACTTTTAATTTTTTATCAATGGACTTCTGATGTGAAACCAGCATCCAAGGCTGTACAGTCTTTTCCGTAGATACCATGTGTCAAATACCTATATATTTTTCTTGGCAGCTTAATAATTTGTTGACAGCCTCTTCTTTTAAAGTCTCCCTTTAGATGAAACCAGCAACAACAAACTGTAGATGACATAGTAGCTTGTATGAGATTCTCTACTACTACTATTGGATGGAATTACCATGTTTGTCAGTTGTGTAAGGAAGGGCGAGAAGAATGAGACAAATCTTTATATTCCATTGGGATGTCTGTTGAAGACAAAGAATGATGGTTGGCTGAAAGGAGTATTAATTACTTAAACATACTGTGGATTGGGGCCAATGTGAAATTTCTGTTGTAAGTAAGTCTGGAAGCTGACACTCTTGATGCTGCTCTGGAGCTTGAATAGTCCTCTCTCCTCTACCCGGTAATGACACGTTTTGCACCAATGCTACACTTATTTCCAAACTGATTTCCTTTGGTCAGGTTATATGTTTCAGCTAAGGAGTTCTGTGAAAGGATCTTGAAACCCCAGTTTGGTCTAATTTAAGACCACAACCACAAAAAGAATTCTATTAAGTTAGTATAAAGCCAAGCAAAGATTAGATGTATGCATGAAACAAAGTGTTTCTTTACTTTTCAATTTTAAATGGTTGGTTAGCTCCATTATGTCGGTTCTGAAAGTGTATTACACCAGTAAGTGTTCTCAACTCGAATATATTTTTGATACATATGATTTTTGATATTTCTCTTTTGCATTGGGATTTCTGTTATAATATATTTAAACTTGTAAAAATTCTAAACAAGTGCACAACATGATCCACTTTGCATTTTGACTTACATTAAGAGAAGGAATTGTTGCATGTGAATATTGAATTTTTATAGAAAGGTACTATTTGCATGTAACCACTACTTAGAAGTGGTCTCTGCTTTCAACCTGTGTACTTATAAATGTACTCTGGTATATCTCTGATATTATAGTTAGAAGTTTTATTACATCATTAAGGTATTATACTTTTTCTGTAATACAGAAACATATGCCGCAGTTATTTTTAAGACGTGGACATTTAATCATGTTAATACATGTGTTATTATCTATAGTAAAGAGAAATACACAGGAATGCTTTAACTGGTATTATTAAATATTTAATTTAAAAGAGATCATATTGTAAGTATGACCCTTAATTATGTTACCTTAGTAGTAATTAATTGTAGTAAGCAAAACCAGGCATGACCATTTATTTCTGTTACTCTATGTCCCTTAATAGTAAGAAATGTAGGTAGCATATTCCAAGTTTTTCTTTAAAATTAATTTCACAATTCACGCTCTTATAGAATACTTATAAAATAATTGTATTTCTACTTATCAGCTTTTTCATCTAACAATCCCACTCATGCCGGACAGGAGTAGCAACCCTTTTTAAAAGGGGTTGTGCTTAAAATATGCATATTCAACGGTGACTTAATCTTTCAACTTCATAGTATCTTTTTATCATTTGTTTTCATCTATTATTACAGTGTAAATGCTGGGTAACTTGTAGTAACTTGTAGTAGGACCATTTAGTTTATTTCCTATATAATAAATATCATAACCAATATGCATTGCCATCTGTTTGAACTTAAGGAGTTAGATTGCAAAGATTTGTAAAAAAACATGGGTTAAGAGGTCATGGAACACCTACATCTCTTATCAGGTAGCACCATATGAACTCTTCAGGAAGAGATTCAGAAGGGCTGAAGATCAGTGTCAGGTATTTTTCTCAGTGGGAAGTGTTTGCTTAATCGACACATTTTGGAAATTTGGCCCCAGCACAGGATAGAAATTTGACTACAGCAGAAGTAGAAGCCTGCAAAAGGTCTGCTGCAAGGGTACACCTTGCCTTTCAAAGATGTTTGGAGAAGCACAGGAGGGAAGTTCCTCTGACTGGTGAAAGGGGACAACAAATACAGAATGACAGAAGTTGATTGTTGGTGGGGTGTAAGAGTAGAGCTCCTATTAGACCTCTTGGGTGTTGAGAACTCAAATGCTTTGCTATCTGTGGGGCCTGAGGCCTCTAGCAAAGGAAGAATTTGTAAGATAAGACATTTACCTTAGGGGAAAATAATAACCCTGATGTCATGGCTCAGTATAGTATACATACGAGAGCCTATCTCCAAAGCATTTCCCTTTTCCTGTTGGGTTGCAGAGTTTCACTATTTTTAAAAAGGGCTTTGCAGTTGTCTAAGGATTTTTTCAAAACATTTTTTAGTTTAGAATATTTTTTAGTTAGAATATTTTTTAGTGATCTTAACAAGTGCACTATTTTAATGCTTGACTTCCAAATAACTATAGATACAGG